TCCTTAAAAAAAAAAAAACCTGCTGAAAAATCAGATTTTTTTTTTTTTCTTCCCACCCATGTCTTTCTCCCTCTCCCCCGTTATAGTCACGGTGCTATGGCTGCACTTTCTGGCCCTCTATTGGTGCTGAGTAGGGACTTTCACCAACAGCCTTATAATAGTCCAATGACACATACTCACAAAAAGAATGAAGTGTAGCTACAATGGATGTGGGGGGGTAAGGGCTGGCCGGGCTTGCCCGCAAAAGCATATAATTGACATCCAGTATAAATAATTGGAAGGGGTGATGGGTGGGGGTATCTTTTATTATTATATTTTTTTTAAACCGCATATTTCTTTACAAACTGGGTATAAACCACCAAGAGTTTTCCAGGAAAAACCAAGGTTAGTTACCGAAAGAAACAAAGAAAACAAAAATTAAAAAATATTTTCAAATATTAAAAAAAATATCCACAAATACAGAAACTCGCTTTTATATTTGTCTATAGTTTTTTATTCCATTGAACCAAAATTTCTTCAGCACAACACACCCTCACACATATAATAAGCACGCCGAAAAAGCTGATTTTCCTTTGTCCTCATGTAACCTACACCAAATTTGCAAGTATCTATGCTCAAAAAGGGAAAGATTATCCACAGAATCATTTGATACAATAGGATTTTTTTGGGGGGTGTTCAGACGTATATTTTTGTTAGTTACCGAAAGAAACAAACAAAACAAAAATTAAAAAATATTTTCAAACATTAAAAAAAATATCCACAAATACATAAACTCGCTTTTATATTTGTCTACACACCCTCACACATATAAGCACACCGAAAAAGCTGATTTTCCTTTGTCCTCATGTAACCTACACCAAATTTGCAAGTATCTATGCTCAAAAAGGGAAAGATTAACCATAGAATCATTTGATAGACTAGGATTTTTTTGGGGGGTGTTCAGACGTATATTTTTTTTTTGTGTCAAGAAAATTTCTCTAACCTCGCGAACCGTTTCGGCTGTCAACAATCGCGTCTTCATCGCGGCAGTCCCCGCTTGGTGTGACTTGCTCTAACTTCTGGCCAGCAAATTTGTAGCTGGAAGTGATTTGTCTATCCTGGTCTATTGTCTTGTAAATGAGTACCGCAAGTGTTTGTATTGTCTGTTTTATGATGTCTCACCTATTTGGTTCTTATTTCAATAGCACAGTGAGACATATAAAACTGTAAAACCACAGTTTTATATGTCTCACTGTGCTATTTTAGAAAGCTGCTTTGGGACTACGGCTGAAAACTAGCATTTATGCTAAGTCCGGTGCATTTACACTCTTTATTCTTGTGTTGATTAATGTGCACTGTCCCAATGAAATAAAAACAAAAAAATAAATAAATAAACGTGGTTCCGCATGATGGAAAAACAAAACGAAAAAAAAAATCACATACTACCATCGGCACATCATGAACACAACCAGGGATTATACATCTGTAGATATTGTAAAGCGTCCGACTGATTGGATGGAAACATTTCTGATAGGTGAGAGGAGCACAATTGAATCTCATGATTAAAAAAAAAAGGTTCCTATTCTGCTCCCGCCCGTGCTCTCCTCACGAAGCCCCGGATGTCCCTTCATGCTGATCGTCTGCTGATTGTCAAGCGGCTGCTTTTCTCACATGGTGCCGAGCCTGAATCCGAATCAGATGCTGATGAGATCAAATTGCAGAGAGAAACCTGTATGCCACCGCGTGCCCATCTTTGTATCACCCCGGTGCCTCGACTTTCGGGCACGGGAACAGCTGATGCTTTGATTAGACATTGTCATCGAGGGGATATTGAAATATATGGGGGCTATGGACCTGCTTGTGATGAATTGTGGAGTCCTGACCGCAGGTGGGAAGTTCACGCTGGCTTGCCATCAATTGCACATCCCGGCGGCAAGCAGAGAAGTGCAACTAGGCCGAGTACTTGAGGCCTTCAATTTAATTGCCACGGACGCAAACTGTGCACACAGCG